CTATTTATGTTATTCAGGCACTGAAGCAAGCTCGACTGTGTGTAGACTGAGCTTAAAATAAAGTGACATTGATGGAGCAATAGCTTTACCAATCACTCAGCTCAGCTTCTGTCTTTTACTTCCCGTATCCAATGAACAGACGGAAAACACTCACGACGTGTATGAAAAGTCTGCACATCTGTGTTAGAAAGTAGGGATCCACTATTTGAAAACCTTTTCCACTTTCAATGTCACAAATAATCTGAACAATGTCATGGAATAACAAATCTTGCAATTTGAGTAAAGAATAACTAACCCACATGAGTGCACAGAAACTTAAAATACTTTATGGAACCACTAAATAATTCAATTTCATCAAACTGTCTAATCAAAAGTTTCCAAATCAGATTGTGACCAACTGTGGACAGAAGATGTTCAGTTTCTGTCAGGACTCTGGCAAGCCCTTTCTACAACATTAGGTTTCTTCTACAATTTTTTATTTTTTTTTTAAATTTTTTTGTGTGTTTCTGTACTTGCAATGACGCAGAAAATAAAATCCATTTGTTTCACAGTAGCATAATGCTGCCACCACCAATGTGGTGTTTAGTGCTTTTTCAAGTGCATCTTTTAGAATAGTGGCTAAAAAAATGTTTTTATCAGCTCATACCACGTTTTCAAGACTGCTTGAGATTTTAACCAGACCTGTTTTTGCACACATTTACTTTTACAAAATGTAAAATATTTACTGGGTTTCTCGATTGTTGACTCTGCGGTGTCTTATGACTTCTCATTTTTGTGTTTTTATGATGTAAAAGCACTTTGAACACCCTTGCTGCTGAATTGTGCTTTACAAATAAATTTGATTGATTGATGTTTTATTAATTTATTGGAAACCTCAGAAGGTTGCTGTCAAATGTAAAACAACCTGCACTTGCTTGATCTTTTGTGTTGGCTTCTTTGTGCTCTTCTGACAGTTTTGTAGAAATGTTACGTTTCATAGTTTCTCTGTGGTCTTCATTTCTTTGCATAAAAACATCTTAATTAGTTTTCATGTTTTTGATGTTACAGGTGAAAATAGGATTTTAAATAAGTTAAGAGGATTTATTTATTTTATTTTTTAACTCATTTTTAGCCATAAGGGGGTGTGTACACTTTTTGGATGCACTGTAAATAAGAACTCAGTGTATTTGAGAGTAATTTTCTTTTTCTCATGCTCATTGGTAATTATATATGCAACATTTTTGTGGTCACATTTCTTTAATAATTCTAACGGAGACGGGCGTGTTGATGCGGACAGGCAAGGACACGCTTGACGCCGCTAATGCAACACTTATGTCTTTATTCCCATAAGAAAAATCTACCTTTTTGATGAACCTCAGCTATGAAGTCAGAGCACAGAGAACATTTTATGCCTGCAGACTGTAAACGATAACACGGCAGAAGGCAAACTTCAGCAAGCTAAACCTGGTCTATGCAACCGCAACCCTTTTTTATTAGGCTTGCACTATCTGGGGCATGACCGCGCAGTTGTTGAACACACACATACACAACAATAATTAAGAGGCTCATGTTCGTATTTGTTCACTCTGAGTTTTTCCATCTAAAATATTCAGCTCACGGATAATGTTTTTTTCCATCAAAGGAAAATTGGTAAAATAAGGAAACCTGGTCAAAATGAAATTGACACGATGAAGTGTAATAGGAGCTCAACGGATATATTCACTGGCCCACAGGGATGATGGAAAGTATATCACCACTCTGAAATCAAATGGTTAATTGTTGCAAGATTGAAACTATAAGTTTCCTCTGTCTGAAATAAATGCTAATAGGAGCCACAGTGATTCTCTGACAGAATCCTCACATCTGTCCTGTTGAGGTCTGAGCAGAGATTTCTCCACTGCTTTTATTGCCTCAAAGACTCTGAACACAAACAAACCCACTTGACCGAGTTGTTTAGCATTTATAACTTTAGACTGGCTTTATCTTCACTTTGGTTAACCAAGTTCAGCCTTACTTTATCACATCTTTTTTCTGCTTTGAACAGAAACCTTTGCTCAATCATTGACATAAACTCTCCTCCTTTAACAGTGGACTAAATATTCTTTCACATTGTGGATTATTTTACAAACATCAAAACATATGTAATATAGTTTTTTTCAGGCTATAAACTATATTCCAAGAAAAACTCTAACCAGTTTATGAAGTAGTAAAAAAAAAAAAAAAAACAACAAAAAAAACTGGCAGGTAGTCAGACCATTTATTATTATATTTAATAATTAAGTTAGAAAGCTTTTAAGTAAAAAGCTAGAGTCGAGTTTTGAAACATCTTGCATTTATTGCTCTTAAAATAAAAGATAAAATCATAAAGAGGGTCTCTGGAATAATTGTCATCATTTTTGAGAGAGTATTTTCTCATATAACACAAAATGTAAATGATTGCAAGTTTTTAATGCAAAATTATATTATCTTAATATTGGTCAGAGGCAGAATTTTGCCACTGTTGCCTTATAGTCAGAAAGTTGTTGGTTTGAATCCTAGTCAGTTCTTTTCCGTGCAGAGTTTGCATGTACTCCCTGAGTTTTTACAGGTACTCCTAACTTTCAACCACAGAACAAAAATTTGCTTTCTAACTTAATTGGAGACAGGCATCAAGAACTCCAGCCACAGTCATACTAATTGATAGAAATGTATTTAATCATAACGGGGATCGAATACTTGCATAAACCTCCAGCAGATTAACTGCTGGGTTCAAGCTGAATGCTCTATTTGCTGACCACTACAGTTATTTTATTCTCTCATAGTGTGGATGCACTCAAACACATGAAGTATTCATGACAACAGAAAACCTGCCAACAAAGACAGTCACTGGCTTTTCTCAACAGCTACACAACAAAGACTGATATCTCAGCACAGTTTTTGAATCATATCTGCTTTTTGAAGAAATTCAGCAATAAATGAACATAGTGGGATTTATTTGACATGAGCTTAACTTTGCTGGTCTAAATTCACACTGTTCCAGCGCAGTTTGTGTGCAGTTTGCCTGTTCTCTCCGTGGATGTGTGGATATTCTCTGCGAAGGCTTCCCACATGTTTGGTTATCTGGTGATTATAAATGGATCTTAGGAGGAAGTGTGAGCATCCTGGGCTGTGTGTCTCTGATGGACTAATGGCCTGTCCAGAGCGTAAACCTGAAAGATGGGGCTGTCCCCCTGTGACTCTGAAAAAGCTGCTGCACAGAGATTACGCACCACAGCGGCGAGGTGGTTAGCACTGTTGTCTCTGAATTGTGCAGGGCATCCTAATTCCTTTTTTAATGTTTCTCCTCATACTTGCATTGATGATCTTCAGAGTCTTTGATTAACTTATTCTTGTTAAACTAACTGTTAATTTGAAATTAATCCCAGGAACGAGTGTGTAAGCATGAATCTTTGTGTTTCTGTGAAGGGTTGTCCAGGTTGCACCTCACCTGTCACTGCATAACAGCTGGTAGAGGCAAAACAAATATGCTCTGAAGTTTTATTCTGGTGTTGTTCAAAAAATAAATCCCTTAAACTCCCAAAATGACTGAAAGGTCTAAGACAAGGATCCAAATTACATCAGTTAAATATTTCAGGATTTTTCTTAAATTTTGCAGAAAAGTGTCCAAAACAAAATACTTTATTTTAGTATTTTCCTGCCGATAACAAGTAGGAACTAATCTCTTTTTCCACAGTTCTTGATGCAGAAGAAGCCAGCATCACATCATTTTAGGCTGTTTCCACTAGTGACGGTGCTTACCTGCAGCCAAATAAGAGGTGTTACAGTTCGGACGGGCTCCGATTCTGAACAAGCAGCAGTGGAGCAACCATAAAAACAAGACGGCACAAGAGAAAGGAATGCAGCCCAACTGGACTTTCAACAAAGCAAGCTGGCTGCAGGATTACGTCTAAGAGGCCCTGACGCGGAGGTGCGTTCGGACTGTAACGAAACTAAAAACACGCAGATGCATGTGAATAAAATGCCATTTTAGAAAAGAGCGTAAATCTTGACTGGCAAGCACATGTTGACAGATTTATTAAAGTATTTGCACAAACAGAACAGGTACACAGCTGCAGAAAGAGACAGTAACACACACATTCGACATCTTACTGTGTAAAGCGCAATAGACTGCATGGATACATCTTTGCCCCAATATACAAACATGTACCTGCATCTCAGTAAGCATGCATGGTATTGGGTCTAGGTAATTGGATCTAAGCACAACATGCCGACACTGGTAGCCAATCAAACAATAGTTTTTTTTTCAATGTCACTGCCAGAATTATATCCTGCAGCAAAATAAATCAGAAGCTCCTTTTGCGTGCGTGCACAAAAGACACGTTGTATAAGTGAGGAAACAAGAAAGCAGCAATTCCAAGTTTCAAGTATTGGTGTGCTAGTCAAAAAAACACAAGACATCAAAATGAAATTCCATTTTAGTGATCAGCAAGAATGCATGACTTTAAATGGACAACACACAATTCCCTAAAGAGACACAAATCATGATGCTGAGCTGCTCATCAGAGATTCAGAGAGGTAACTGTCTAACTTCCTGTCTTTTATGTTCGTGGATGCTTTATGTTTTATCTGTTCCGCTGTTGTGGGAGCTTTTTGTCTCTCATACACACAAACCCACGCCCACTCAGAGAGAGAGAGAGAGAAAGGAACGTCTCTCACTGTTCGGATCCTGAAGGAAAGCTGCAGAAACAGAAGTTTAAACTTACCTCCTCCAGACAGAAGTTTAACACTTGCAAATACAAAAGAAGATGGAGAAGGCAGAAGAGGTGAAGAGGAAAGAAAAGTGTCTGAATGAAGGACAGAGGAAGGGATAAAAGGTAGCTAAAAGAATAAAAGTTTTCATTTTTGGAAAATGAGTGGGGGAAAGGAGAGGAGGAAAGTGTGAAGGGTTTTTAATTCGGTTTCTTTTTACATTTGTTCTAGTTGTTACAACAACATTTAGGCAAGAAAAAGGATGCTGAAGAGAAGAGGCAAGGAGACCCTACCTGGAGCTGTTCGGACAACGTGGTGGACTGCCTGGTGCCCAGAGCCGGGACTGAACTTTCCTCAGGACGCAGAAACACTTGCTGACCACGTCTGCAGAAATAAAGAACGATAGTCAGGACCACTTTGTGCCTAATTTTTTTGTGTGGGTTCTCTTTCTAAACAAGTTGAAAGTCAGCTGGAGGATGTCTTGTTGATAAGCCAGATTGTCGGCAACTTATCTTGTCCGAGAAGTGGAGGGAAGAATGTAAAGGTGTGAAGGAATCTGTGTGAAATGTGTGTGAAGCCCTTACAGGTCCTTTGCTTTCTTCCTCTCGAGCGCAGTCATGTCATCTCCACCTGTCGCAACGCAGAGAGAGCGCCGGAGTCACACACGCATCCACACACACAGCTGCACAGCAATGCACTCACTCGCGCCGGCAGGCTGAGACACACACTGGTGTGCTAACACCATGAGCGGCAACACATAGAGCCGATAGTGAAGGCAGTCGCTCCTCCTCGTCTCTCCTCCCACCTCTCTCTCTCTGTCTGTCTCTCTCACTACTCCTCCTCTGGGTCTTACCGCCTCCCTCAGCCCTACCTATGCTTCACCTCCTCACTGTGGAGACACACACTGCTTTGTAAAAAAAAACAAAATACAAAAAAAAAAGAAAAGAAAATCACATTTTGTCAGGTTGAAATCAGAAACTTCTGAAAATTTAAATAAGATTCTAAGTGATAGACCAACACAAAGTAGAATATAATCGGAATGATAAGGAAAATTATATTTAGTTTAACTTTTTTAAATAATTATCTGAATAGTGTGGCATGCATTTAGATTTGTTATCAGTCATGTGCTCTGGTACATTTTCAGCTCCAAAACGAAAACTGTCGCATATGCAGTAGCTGTAGCCTTACCTCACTGCGTGTTGGTCTTTTGCAGAAAACACAAAAATATTGAAGTTTGATGTTGTGAAATAAGAAGTATTTCTATTCTTGCAAGATTATTTAGTTTTCCCAAGAAAGCGATACGTTTAATATAGTCATAAATAAAAACATAATAACCTGCATCACCATAGCTATAAAAATCACAACGCTGAACACAGGAGGGATAAATGAGTTTTCCATTCTAATAGTCCTGAATTTCTGCCTCATATCTGGCAGTTGTGGATCAATGAGGTTACAGAAAAACAGAGAGTCTCAGTGAACCCTAATAAAAATCACAATATTAGAATGAGCAAATGATCTCGCTCCATGGAAAGTAAGTAGAAGCTTTACTTTTGCCACAGTAGTTCTTACTCACATCCACATCAGGTTATTTCCAAGATGTCTTCAATCTAGTTTGTAATTTGAATCAGAGAATGAAGTTGTCTTGTCGACACCTTTTGATGATAAACGGATCACAGTCATTGCACACGACTGATGCATTCCTGATGGCTCTTATTCTAAATGTGGCATCAAAGACCTGAGAAAATGTAAGTCAAGAGCAGGTACACGCTATGACGGGTGAAGATTTGATATCATCCACATTAGGGAAACCACAACGTTTGGCTGTGAAATATGGATACAAAATGATGGGGGAGGGGGTTTTGTAAAAATTGAGTGAGTTAATTCTGGTGTCACCATCTTTTATTTCCTCACATTTTACATGCTTAATGTTTATCTGGCCAGCTTGTGATGAAATTTTATGCCATTTGCACTGTGTAGGACTTCCCCCAAGTGGTCAAATAACTATGAGCTGAATTACACTTTTACAATTACAATTTTTGCAGTATTTTGAGTATTTCAGATCTTATATAGCTGTTTTTGAGTTTTTATTTACCTCTAACATGTCTCATACTCCAGTCTTGCACTTTGCGCTTTCTGAACACTGTTGTGGCAAAGTTACAAAAGCAGAAAAAGTTGCTATATAGAGCAATCTTACTTAGCTAATTAAATCTTCGTTGGTGCAGACAGAGCATGTACATAGTGTGCTGTGACATTTAGTAGTATCATTTGGCTCCTGCTGCAACGTTTGAATAATTCTTCGTTTCTATGTGTATAAATTATGCACATTGTCGAGTTCATGTAACAAATTTTTAAAAATCTGTGGCAGTCTGAGCTCCCTATACATTAAAATATGCATGTTAAAACAATGTGGAACAACATACCTGCGTGTTAACTTCTGTAACACTAATTAGGATAATCATACAAATCTTATTGTATTATTGCCTATTGATTTTTATTTCAGAAATATGATTGAATCACATAACCAGTCCCAATGGTACTAATATTTTTAAAGATTTTGATTCCTATGATGTTTTATTTTGTAACACTCTTTAAATGTTAATGCAAGACAAAAAACACAGCCAAACAAATATTAATGGCAACGTGTTCATTTTGATTCCTGACATAAGAGTAATGGAGACTTGTGTGCAGCTTTGCAACAATCAGTCTCCACATTTAGACCAGTGATGGGTTAAGGAAAAAATATTGATTATCTCATTACAATGGCACCTGGCAATGGGCAAGAGGCATTAGTCAGCAAGAGAGCATTTTGCCCCAGATGTTGATGTGTAAGAAACAGGAAAGGTAAATGGGGTTTCTATTCTATGAGAGCCGTGGAGCCTTTTGCATTTGGCTTCCCAGTTTGTGCTGCCTGAACTAAAGGTTCAAGGAGCACCTAAAGCCACCAAATGAAACATATTTTGGTATTGAGGTTTACATTAATATTAATGAGGTTAATGTGTTTAAAACTAGTTTCAAGTTATAATTTAATTATTAATAGTAACATTTCTGGATGGCCTGATTTAAACTTTTTTTTCCCCAGGAAAAAAAAAAAAGAGCATAGAGCAAGAATTTAGGGCACAGACCCAAAGGGTTTACTTTCCGGAGAAACAATTCAATTTTATGTAATAAGTGTTTAAGCAACACGAAGCAAATCTTTCAGCAGTAGTTAGTTGTTTTATTGGCCTATCAGAGTTGATTTCTTTCTGAGACATATCTAAACTAATGCAATTTCTAAATTGGGCATTTTAGACTCTTATCTTTGCTCGCACTGTTGCCATATGTGAGGTTAATTGGGGCTGCACGTTAGAAACTAGCAATTTACTAATGTCTGGCAGGATGTTGTTAGAGTTAATATGTTTATCCATAAATGTTCCAACTTATTAGTAGGCAGGTCTCACTTTCCCTTTCTGGGTGTTTTAATTTCCGAAATTACCATAACCGTGTAACGTTCAGTGTCTCCTAGGAATAGAACATAATTATGAGACAATGTGCTTTCTGTAGGAGCTGAGGAGAAGGCCAATATATGCAGAGCTATTTATGCAGAGAGAGGACTGCAGGTGAAAATATGAAGAGCTTTGAGCCAGAGGTCACAGACCGTGATTTTAACCCAAAAGGATCATCGTACCAACCTGTCCCAGCCTGACTGCTTCATCAGTTGATAAAGACCAGCCATACACCTTCAAGATTTTAGTAACCACAAAATAAAGCTTTTTAATCATCCCCATCAGATCTGTTACTATGCCAAACTTTCAATCCTGGAATGATGCAAGAAGTTCCAATGTTTCAAAACCATCCATCTTTTTGTGCTTATCCAAGATCAGGTCATCAGGCTAACAGCAGCCATATCCAGGAGGCGTCCTGATTAAACATCTTAAGCACCTCAGCTGACTCCTCTTAATGTGGAGGAGCAATGGCGCTACACCATATGCCAAAATGTCTTGTCCTATACAGCTCTGGAAAAACAGTAGGAGACCACTTAAAATGATCGGTTTCCCAGATTTTACCTTTTGTAGGTATACATTTAAGCAAAATGAACATTGTTCTTTTATTCTATGAACTGTTGACAACATGTCTCTGAAATTCCAAGCAAAAATTTTGTTTTTTTTTTGCGGAAAATGAGAACTGGTCAAAATAATGAAATCGCTGCACTGCTTTCCTTCCTCAAATGAATCAAAGAAAACAAGTTCATATTCATTTAGAAACAGTAATACTAATGTTTTAACTCAGGAAGAGTTCAAAAATCAATATTTGGTGGAATAACCAGGAGGTTTCAATGGGTTCAGTGCAGTGGACTCTTCATTTTTTCCCCCCGCAAGGGCTGTATATTGGGCTGAAATATCTCAGCTGGAGATATTGTTCACATAAACAAAACAGACAAAAAATATGTCATTGAAAAACTGTCATTGAAAAAAATATGTCATTAAAATAATGACATATTTCAAATATTTTATAAAACTATTTGGAAAGAAACTGGAGGTTTTGACATATAATTCAGTGACAGTATTGAGCACAGAAGCCCACACAGTCGAAGAAAGGAAATCCAAAGTGACACTGGCAGCTGACTCTCTGAGGTGACATTAAAGGAGACAGGACAATTAACATGATGCTGCGCTGCAGGTGGAGCAGAACTGAATAATGATAGTCCATCAATCTCACGACAAACCACAAGGCCAGCAGCTACAGGAAGTCTTACTGACATTACAGGATCAGTTCACATGTAAATGTACAGTGTTTGAGTCGCATACAAAAAAAATCAGTTTGGCGTAGAGGAAAAGTTTAAGATTATTCTGACTATACACACATTTCTCACTATAACTCAAAGAGGTAAGATATTAAACTACAGTAAATAACTCAGATCCAGTAAGCTGTCCTGCTTTAATTGAATTACATTGAAAACTGTTCAAAATTACTTAAAACCACTGTTCTGTAAGCAATAAGTTCTTCAGAGCATGAAATTACTTTAAGCAAATGAGAGATCTTGGAATGTGTGACATTTTTTAAGCACCATTACCAAGTTAATTAGGACTCTGTGCTATATAATCACAGATGGCATCACAATGTCATATGTTGAATACTCTTGCTTTAATGCATTTTTCAAGCTGCAAGAGATCCTGTGCATTATTTCATAGCCGAAGGGAAACAGGGAGTTCACTGGAGCAACCACTCAGAGGTTGATTCTTGTTCATTTGCAGCCCTTTGCTATAAAACGACGCCATGTCTCAGTAAACCCTAAGGCTGTGGGGTTTTGTGGACATGATAAAATGGCTATTTCAGCACATCACAACCTCTTGACCAGAGCTGGCTGAGAAACGATCACAACTGTGCACAGTTCATGATACAAATGC